CAATTGCTTAAATTAATAGGAAAAATTAATTAAATAATTAGGGAGTGATTGGTTAAAGAAAAAAGTTGTTTTCAAAGCACCACAAGACTTGCCGCCACAATTAACAGCCAAATATTCTAAAACCCAACATTAATGTGGCTAACACGTTTTCTTAGGCCCAGCGATTGTTATTATTATAATAATAATTATTATTATATAATAAGTGGGACAATTAAAATATTAGTTTGATTTGGTTTGGTTTTAGGATGGCTTTGGCTTTGTGTTTGTGAAGCCACCCTTCCCCCTGCTTCGATATAGTAATTAATTTGATTTCCACATGGCGCTACGTGTCTTTCAACATAGTTTGGCGCAAAGGTTTAGAATCTTCTTATTAGGAAATTAATCAATGATTAAAAACTCCTTATTACCTAAAATTGGCTTTGAGAAAGTGATTTCGATGTGTGACATGTGTCACCAAATTCAGCAGCTCAACTGACTTTTAAATTATGGAGAAGATCCTCCTTTCATCAACATTACTAAAACCAATTAAATTGACAACAACCAATCATTTCCTGAAAAAACAAAAAAAAAAATTTCCAGTTCAGTAACTTTACTCGAAGTCAAAGGTAACACTTCGCAACGATAGGCAATATCAAAAGCTGTAAAAAAAAAGTACTTTCTTCCAATAAAAAAATAAAAAATCTCATATTTCATTTTAATTTATTTTAAATTACATAATAAATATTAAAAAATAATTCATCAAAACACAAAAATTTAATAAAATATATATATCCACTTTAACTAAACAAACAAGTAACAATCATACAAAAAAATGACAAAATCTACCTTAAATATGAAAATTTCCAAATTTTTATATTTAAAAATAAAAAATTAACCACCAAGAATAACAAAAACCAAATCAACCTACAACTGAAAATTTTCAAATTTTTCTGTAGTTCAAAAAAAAAAAAAACACAAGCCACCATTAATACAATCAAACAATATACAACTAAAAAACAAATAAAGAAAAAAATAAAAAAATTTACATCTAAAAGGTTTTCAATTTTTTTCTTATTTTTTAAGCAAATACTATTGGAGAAAATTACAAAATCCCAAATGAACATAATGAAGAGAACTACCATCAATAGTTACTGACAAAGGTGGTGGCAACGAAAGTGAAAAGAAGAAGGGAAAGAAGATAAATGGATAGAAATGAAAGTTAGAAATTTTAAAAAATCTGAGAAAAAAAATCAAAGAAGAAAGGGAAGAAAATAAATGGGAATCTGCAAGAAAGTGAAATGGGATTTGGTCTTAGAAAGGGGGCGACATTGGGAAAATTAGTGACGGAAAAAAAGAAAAAAGTGAGTAGAGTTTGTTTTTTCAATTTTGTTTTTGGGGAAAGGAAAAAGAAAAAAGAAATTGGGCCATTTAATGCATCTAGTCAATATTTGTTGTCTTGACTCAATAAAAATGGTCGAGATTAATGGATCTATACATACCATATCAACTTATTAAAAAAAAAAGTACACCAAACAGTACTTTTTAAATAATAATATTAATTAAATTAAATTTTAAAATTTTTCAATAATATAAAATTTTAAAATTTATATGACATGTTTCTAAACAAATTTCCAAATAAGAATAATATAGTAGGTTAGCTTCTAAAATAATATTATAGTATTTCACTCAATTTAAATAAAAAATAAGCTTAGAGTCTATAGTTATATATATATATATAATTAGCGACCAAAAGTAAAAGAATATATACTAAATTAAGAGATTTTTTTATTTTTTTATTTAATTTTAAAATTTACACATAAATTAAAATTTTAAGTCTGAATAAAATAAGCAAAGAATATATGATATGAGCATAGATATTACATGAATATAATACAAAAAAATATATAAAAGTGATATATTTAAAATTTTAATAATAATTATGTAAAGATTTAGTAAAATTAAAATAATATATTATATATTTTTTTTTTATATTATTTGTAACATATAATTTTTGTATAAAATATAATACGAATACATAAATTTTAATATTTTATATAATACGAATATATGAATCGTTAGTTTAATATTTTAAAACAATGATCTTGATTTATTATTATTATTGTTGTTGTTATTATTAATATTTTTAACAAATATTATTATTATTTATATGTTTTAATTTAATAATTTTTTAAAAAAGCCTCATAGGAGAGCACCATTCTAGTAATAATATCACTATTTCCACGTGTCAGTACATATTTTCACTTAAAATGTGTCACAATTTTGATTTGTTATCTCCTATAGACTCCTAAGATTAGCCAACTACCATATATACGCATTATGATTTGTTCTCCTTTTGCAACTGCAGAATGCAGTAAAACATATTACTTCTTCTTTTTGTATTGTTTTTTTTCATCTTCCTTTTTTAAATATTTAAAATTATATCTTTCTTTTTTTTAACACCTATAATTTTATTTTTTTCTATATTCTAAAATCATTTTTTATATTTTTTAACCTTTTCCTATTAAAACTGTTGAACATTATTATTCAATTTTATAAAAAAAAACTTTAAATCTTATTAAAAACACTAAAATTACATTTTATTTTATGAAAGTCAAAAGGGGACAACACAATTTGATACTAAAGGAGTTTTATTTTTTGAATGAGAGTATGAGATCTTATCACAATTTATTATGAGAATTTCATGAACGATGACGATAAAATATTTGATTGTTAAATGCTTGATCAATAACTATTAATTAATTATTGTTAAAACTTAAATATAATAGTGAAAATTTTTTATTAGTTAGGATAATTTCTCGTTAATACCAAAGCTTTTGAGTTCAAATCCTAAATAAAATTCTCTTTTTTTTTTTTAATTATTTCTTCACTAATGTTTTGTTGCCTATTAAGTTGTGCAATGTTTTGTTATCATTCTTCAACTGGCACATTCTTTTTATATATGGGTCTGCATTAAAGTCCATTAATTATGCATACGTTTGGCAAATGATGAGACGTATTAAAATTTAAATATAATAATTGAATCTTACTTCAAAAATATAGTAATTGAATTATTTTCTAATAATTTAAGCTTTTAGAACAATACAGCAAAATATATATTTTATTTTTTCCAACCAAGATTGATTACGAAACTAGAATAGTTAAAGCATGCATTTTATATTCATTACTTTGATATAACCTTCAAATTTACTTTGAATAGATATAATTTTATATTTAATTTAATAATAATGAGAAAACTTTAAAATATTGAGATCTTAAGTGCAAGTTTCATGATATATGGATTTCATTATATTATTATATTTAATTTATTAATTGATTATTTAATAATTATAATTGAATTATTATATACTTAATGATTATTTGTTAATTATATAAATATAATATTTAATTATAATTCTAATTTAAAAAAATTTAGTAAGTTAGTTCGGGGGTTTCTTATCATTTTAATACCAAGAATAATAATAAGTGACATTTTTTCGGTGGTCTTTACACATTACACAATTAAGGAAAGAAATAAGAAAAAGATCAAAAAAGAAAGAATAGGAGAAAAAAAAAAAAGAACAAAGAAAGTAACAGGAGAGGTGCACGAAGCCCACGTGGAGCCATTATAATCAAAGATGAAGACAGCAGCATCAGGTCATCATCCAACATGTTGTCGATAGAATTTTACCCAAAAAAAGAAAACGGAATTTTAAATTAAAGGCCATGGATGCCATGGATGAGGTGACATAAAGCTGGACTCCATACATACGTGGCACCTGCTGTCAGTTTAACGGATCATTTTTATTTATTTGCCATTCTAAAAGAAGTGGCAGTGAGTGACGAGACAGAGCCCATAGCTTTTTCTCAAATCCGTTGGTTTGTTGGTTGTTATTGGAAACCAAAACCATGTCCCTTAACCAATAACCGGTATTAACTAAACCCAATTCAACTCCAGCTGTAGTTAGGTCTTACGTCTTTAACGCTGCTCCCAAACTCTTCACTCCTTTCACTTTTGCACTTCTCTCCTTTCACTTTCCCTTATTTCTCATCCCACTAAAACCTCCCCTTTTGAAAAAATTGGATTTTCTTTTTTCCTTTTTAATTTTTTGGGTATGTATCATATGGCTCCTTTTTTTTTTTTTGAAGAAACTGAAAATTTGTTTTTTCTTTTGTTTTTTTCTTTTCATAATTTATTTTCCAAAAAATTCAGTCCTAGTAGGCTTTTTTAAAATTCTTCGACTTTACTAGTGATTAGATGTTTTATTTAGTAATTTATTTTTCAAATAGAAGTATAACAAGTCTTTTTTAATAAAAATAAAGTTGAAATTTAAAAAATTAGTTATGAGTGTTATTGGGTTAAGGGGCTTGAATTTGAACATTTAGTTCTTTTTATTATCAATATTTTTAGTCATTCATTCTTTCAAATGAATAAAATTAATTGATTGAGTCACAATAAATGCCATCCGTAATATGTTCTTACATTGCAAGGAAGATTAATCTATGAAGAAAAACGATTCATATAAATGCTAATTAATATATTTTTTAATGTTTTAACCGTTATATAAAAATATCATTATTTTGTGTATTTTTTATACTCAACTTTGCACTTATAATGAATTTGAAATTTAATCCGAATTGTTGGTGTAATTATTTTTTTTGAAAAATGATATTTAGTAATTTTAAAATTTAAAATTTTATTGTTAATATTTTTTTGTAAACAAATTTAAACTCTTAGCAAATTAAATATTCTTGGCCATATTTTCAAGCATTAAATAATTTCCCAACGCCCTTTATCTTGGTTCTAAATTCTAATTAACCGAAAAAATAAAAATATCATAAAAATAAGGAACATAACAACGACGTGTACAACCGCAAATAATTATAAGCACAACGGCATGAAAAGTAAATACACAAAAGTTCAGGGGCACAACCGCTAAACCCAAGAACTCAAAATCCCGACTTTGAAAATATCGCGAACTTTCCACACCCCTCACCCCTCCCCTCATCCTATTAATACATGGCTCGAGTGAAGACGGGTTTGCCGAATTAAACAGCCGAACACGGCTTTTTAGAATTAAAAAAAAAAAAGTTCTCCCCTTTCTTTACACACTTTCTCTTCCTCATGCAACACCATAGAAAAGAAATGGCGGCATCTTCTAGAAGATCGAGCGGACCGGTTCTCGGATCCCTCACCCCATCGGGCCGCTTCAATTCTCACTACGCTTCACAGTCTCCATCTTCTTCTTCTTCAGCTTTCGCTTATTCGAGTTCAAGCTTTAGTTCACGCTCCTCAACTTTCTTTAATCAACACAGATCTATCTCTCCGCCACGTGTCAATCTTTACAATCACTCTTCATCCGCGCCGTCTGTGCGATTCTCGCTTGATAACCGTCCGATCTCGCCTAACCGTTCGATTACCACCGTCCGTCGAAACACCGAGGTGTTGAAGAATTTACAGAGCAAACAACCGAAGCGGACTTGCATGTGTTCTCCTACGACGCATCCTGGATCGTTCCGTTGCAGTCTTCATAAGAGTTGCAATAATTCGCACTCGGAGACAAGTTACGCGCCTAGTAATCGGCTCAACGCCCGTAGATCTGCGATGACGAACTCGTTGGTCAGAATTGGAGGAGTCGAAGGAGATCTGGTTAAGAGAGCTTTGTCTGCTTTGATTAGACCTTCCTCTCACCAGCAGCGTCGCCGCGCAGCTTTTCAGCCGAGACCGAGCCGGCTCTCTATGATGTCAAAAGCTGAGGATTTATGAAGATTCCTTTTGCGGTATGTCTAATCTTTTAACGCTCATTGGTTAAGTCTCCGAGATTTTCCGGTGGTTAGAGATTGAGCTTCCGGGTAACGCCGCAGACGGTGCCGCTGAAGTTAGATTCAGGCGAAGAGGTTGGAGATCTGGACGAAGGATTCGAGACGGATATGATTTTTAGTGTACTCCGGGTGACCGAAACCGTAAAATCCAAGGAACAAATTATCATTTACTTTGTTGGTGTAAATACACACATATTTGCAGCCAATGGCAAATTTGAGGAGCTTTTGGACAAAGAAAACTCTTAAGATTTCTTAAAGAATACTAACCTAATCTAATCTAATCTAATCTAATCTAATCTAATCTAATATAATCAAACTAAATCTAATCTAAAAATCCTAGGCCAGATCTCAGCTCTGCTTGGTTTCAGTTTGTTTCTTCCATTTGGTTTGGTCTCCAAACACCATTCCATTCCAGCGCAGTTCTTTTTCTTTTCCATGATCCGTTTGGTTTGGCGTTTTCCGTTTCTCATTTCATCGGTTTCTCTTCTTCTGTTTGTTCTTCTTCCCCTTAGACTCGTACCACTCATCATTTTCGTATGTCCTGTTTATTCTTTTTTTATTCCTTTTTTTTTTAATTGTCGGTGCCTTTTTCTTAATTCCATATAATCTTTTCCGTAAATTTTTTTTTCATTTTTTGTTTTACAGTTTATAGTTTTATTTTAATTTTCTTCTTTTTCTTGTTTTGCAGGTATTAGACATGGGCAAGTTGTGTGCGGAATTTACATACCTTGATGATTTTACATAGACAGAGGCAAGGGAGAATTAAAGTGAATTAGACCTTGAAGATAAGGTTGGCGTTGGAGGAGAACATGAAATGAAATTGGACCCTCGGAACTTGAGGGAAAATGTTGCTAAAAATGTTAAAATCATAGTAAGGGGCGCGAAGGAGAAACGATAATAATTTGATTAAAGAAGAAAAGAAAACAGAAATTTCAACATTGATTAAAATGAAAGAAACCTATCAATCGGGGAGTTGAGAAAACTTATTTCATGAAATAATAATAAAGGAAACTTAAAAATTTCACTTGCATTCAAAATTATTAGCAACAAGAAGAATTGGTTCACGCCCACAGGAACTAATTGCCGTCGTCTTCAATTAAGAAAGGTGGGTTTACCAGAAATTTTGATGCCAGCGGCTATGGTTTGAGATATACATTGGGGGGAAGAAACCACCAGGAATCCACCGTTATATTTTAGGCATCTCTCGGGCTTCTTCCCTTAATCACCACGCTTCAATTATGTCTGTCTTATATATTTTTTTAAAAACTAAGACACACATTTATTTTGTTAAAATAATAAAAAAAATGAAGTTGACAGCTAAAAAGATTATTGCATCCCCAATTAAAATTTGTTTATCGGTGATCAAATCATGATTTTCCCGTCAATAAAGTTGAACCTAATTGCCTGGTGTCAAGCTCTCCCATACCCCACTTCCTAAATCCTATCTAATCATCAAAACCATTAAATAAATTTAAGAAAAAAATCTCATAAATTGATTGTAGAATTTTTAAAATTTACAAATAAAGGAAAAGTTTTGACAAACATTTCATTATGTTACATTTATCAATAAATCAATAGATAAATTTTAAAATTTCAATGTTGTCCGTGAAATTTAAAAAATTTTATGGCTTAAAATAATAATCTCACTCATTTATGATGATTCGAAGGAAAAAAAGATATTCTAAAATTGGGTTTATCTTGGCAAAGATGGAAATGAAAGAGGTCCCATTCTCATCAAACTTTGGTAATTACACCTTAGAAATCAATTCCCTTGAAGAAGATAAGGTTTCGTTTGGTTTAAGAAATATTTTTTATTTTTATTTTTATTTTTTTAAAAATATTTTTTTAAAAATATATTTGATAAATGAAAATAAAAATTATTTTTTAAAATAAAAATAAGGAAATAAATAAAATATTTAATAATAATACTATTAATGTTATTTAATTATAAATATAATATATATTTATTAATTAATGACATTAAAAATTTTTTAAATATGATAACTTGCAAAAACATAAAAAAAATACATTTATTGTTTTCACAATTAAAATATATATATATTTTCATATTTCAATCTATTTTTATTGTTATTTTCAATTACCAAATATATTTTTACTCATATTTAAAAAAAAATTCTATTTTTTGAAATCAAACACTACCTAAGATTTTCGAAAGCAAAAGATGTGTAAAAAAATTGACAAACAATTAAAATAAAATAAATAGATAAATTTTAAATTTTGAATATTTTTCGGAAATTTTAAAAAATTTTATGGCTTAAAATTATAATCTCACTCATTTCTGAGGATTCAAAGGAAAAAATGATATTCTAAAATGGGGTATACCTTAACCGACAACATTGGCAAAGAAGGAAATGAAAGAGGTCCCATTCTCATCAAACTTTGGTAATTACACCCTAGAAATCAATTCCCTTGAAGAAGATAAGCTTTTCGAAAGCGAAATATGTGTTGGGAAGCTAGCGCCATTCTTGGGGTTTAATTTCTCTCCAACTCCACCACCATAGGGTCAAACCAAAATTGGATTCCATTTGCCCACTCTTCTGTCAAGTGCACAAAATGTATTTTCCAATAGCCAAGATAATATATATACTATTTAAAAAAATAATTAAAGTCAATATTATATGGAGTTTATCACATCTTAAAGTCTTGAACAAATGATAAATTCTAGTACTATTAATCAAGAAGAGCCATAAGAAGTTTTCAAATTTCAATAATCAAATTGATGGTTTTGTTTCATAAGTAAAGTTTATTTATTTAAATTCTGATAGTGATTAATAATTTGATTATCCTTATCAACAAAAAAAGTAATTTTGGATATTCAAATATATACAAATCAAAATTCTTTATAATTCAATCTCCAATAATTTCTTCTATTCTTTTCTTCTTTTTTTAAAGAAAGTAACATTCACTCAATTTTTTTTTTTCTATAAACAAGCGTTTAATCTATCAATTCAATTTTTAATTTTTTTCATATGCAAAAATCTAAAACTATTTTATTCTTTCATAATCAATGTAATCTCAAATTTAACACTAAAAAAATATTTGATTCATTGTTATTGTAGATGTGTATAAAATTAATTGCAACAATTAAGGAAAGAAAAAGGAAATTGCAAGAAAAGGGACAATTAAAAAGAAATAAACTAGCTAGGAAACCGCCATGCTTTTTCTCTTTATTTTCGAGGCACCCAATTCCCCAATGGGTCCAGAACTGAGAAGTTTCAAATCATGTAAGGGGAAATGCAGGGCAACCCACATCTCACATGAAAGGAACGTAGATTAATTGGTTTATAGCTGTGAGGGCGTAGCAGCCAGCATATGGGACCATTCATTTATACTTTTGCAAGGTAAAATTTCCCGATTGACAGCAAATTTGTTTTAGTAACATTATCTTTGGCCAGTGGTGAGGAGGTCCACATTACCTGTTTGTCAGATTCTCACCCAAGGCCAAAAAGAGAGATCAAATTTTCCTGTGATGTAAGCACCATATCACCAAATATTGTTTCCCTTCCATCTAAGTGGGATTCTGATCATCATCCTGAGATATCTCTTTATCAGGAATTCGTGTTTGTTTTACAACTTTTGTTTCAATGGAAAATCTTAGGCTGATCTGATCAGATGAGCTGATGCTGATATGTTCAAATTTGCTAGTGTACTTTACTGGTTTAATAGTTTCAGGTGGACTCTCCAGTGTCAGTGAAAATTTTTGAAGTATTTTTTCATTCTATTTTGAGAGTCACGACCATGTGGGATATTTGATGATAATGAATTCGGTTTGTTTGTTCCTTTTCCTTTCTTGATAGGATAAGGATGGATTGGAGTTAGGAAAATTTTTTAACTTTTCTGTGCCAGTTCTTGTTTCATAGTAGTAGTCTGCACAAAAAAAAATAATGTGGATGACTATGAGTTCGCAAGTGGAGTTAAGGAATTCAACAACATTGTTTGTCTCTTTGTGGAGAAACTGGGTTTTTAAGATACCTATCTGCTGTAGTGTTTATGTTTTTAATCTTATTATCCTATGTGTGAATTACTAGATAAAGTGGAGTTGGTCAGTTCAGACATCAGATGATGTTGATACCTGCAAAACAATTTTCTAAGACAAGTCTTCTTGATAATTTGTAGATTGTCCTAAACGGGCCTACTACTAATTACGATTTAGGAAAATATTTATTTGTAATCTTAGATTTTCTCAAAAATTAGAAGCGGCAAAAGGTTGAGTGCTGTGCCTTATTATTCTTGCAAATGGATAAAGTTGCCGCTCTTAATTTCTAGTGCTGTACTACAAAAAAAAAAAAAAAGAAAAAGAAAAAGGAAAGATGTTGCTTTGCTTGCTTTGTTTGTTGGGGCTCTTTGTCTGATTGTGTATTTGTTTTGATTTCATTGAATTTTGGTCTTGTTATCTCCCTAATCTCAAATGTTTTAGGCGGTCAAGATGATTGCGTCTGCGAATTGGTATATTAGAAATTTGAGTGCAAACAATATGTGTGAGCAACAGCAATTCATATTTTTCCTGGCTATAATGGCATTAGGTTACTGAAATTTATCTTCAGCACATTTAAAAAAGTACGTATTAACAATCATTATTTTCTGAAGTAATGCAGAAAATTAAAGTACAATGATAAGTCTATATCTAACAGCTTGAAAAGCATGTTTAGTTGTCAGGGTAACGAGTAATGATCATGAAACAATGTTAAGTGTGCAACTAACTTAATTCTGCTGTGGAGTGCTTGACCGGGCTTTACTGCTTGGCAATTTCTTCAGAGGACAAGTCTAGGTTATTGGTTCCATTTGGACTTTTGATTGGGCAGGGTCACCTTGGGTTGGCACTCTCCTATCAAAGTCCACAGCAGACACAATTTAGAACCTTATTTAATTTGGGGCATTCGACTTTTCATGATTCCTTAATCTTTTTGGTGTAATAAAATAGTAGATCAAACACTAAATACTAAAAGCAGTATGTAATAGTCATAAATAAAAGGAGCTTGACTTTGTATTATGTGGGATTGCATTGAACCACCTTTCTTTGGCAAGAAGATGTACCCTCTCGTTTCCTTCTCTTTGATTATACCTAGCTAATAAGTATTAAGGAAAATTTTGGAATGTGGCCCTGCAATCATCAATTAAAACACAAAATTCAACTGTTTAAGTTCCATTCTCTATACTGAATATCAAGCTCCAATATTTTTAAGTGCCAACCTTCTTTCAATCTCCAAAGTTTAGCTTGCACACTGGAACAGAATGCACCATTCCGTCATGAAACCATCTCTGGAGCTCATTTATTGTAAACTATAGCAGCTTTGCTAAGCTAAGATTTCTCAAGGTAGACCAATCAATAGGTATCGAGTTTATGCCAACTCAAGGGAGAGAGGTGGACTCCATTCGATGATTTGCGAGATCAGTATATGCCTAGTGGAGCAGGGAAGGTGCCTTTTATACAATAATTATATGGACATATCGAGCAGCTAGTTGCTTTTAACAGTTTCCTTGCCCAAAGTAGCTCCAAAAGAAGGGGCATTTTGGAAAAGTTGGTTTAGGGCATCTTCTAAAGTTTCCAACAAGCTTGACCCAAACGGGATTTTGCAAAGCTTCCAAGGGTACACCTCTTTCTCTTTAACAAAGCTTTGCGTGGTCTTTCTATTTACTTGTTCTAGAATTCTAGACATATGCTTTCATGTGTAAAATCTTAGCTTGCACACTACAACAGAATGCCTTTTAAGATTCTTAGACGCATAATACATGCTTTCTTGGGCTTCTGTTAGAATAAAGTCCGCCTCTTTAAATCGGGATCTCATGCCAAATTGAATGATCTTAATATAGTTTCAGGCATATTTTTGTAATTAACTCTTTTCTTTCTTTTTTTACTGTAATTGATGGAGGTGACTGATGTGAAAGACTTGATAATGGTTTTGGAAGATTTTCTAAGCTAAAGGTAAACCAGCAATAATTGCTACAGTCATCTCCACAAAAAATGGGCTTAAATGATGGATGGGTCCATTCTTTTCTTCCTCTTTAAATTTCTTTCTTTTATCTTTTTATATATCAAACTAATTGGGCCAATCTCCACTTTAGGAAAAATT